AAAAAAACTTCGAAGAGTTTTGGAGCAAGAGTGGGCGAAAATCCCACAATCTAAAATTGACGAGATGATTCTCATGATGCCCCAAAGGATCCACGAAGCGAAAGGAAGATCTACCAGATATTAATTAAATTATAAATATATCAATTCATGTGAATATGATTGAAAATTTTCATTTTTTCTGAAAAGGTGGTGTCTATTTACTTGTGACCACGCTGTGTATAGTTATAGCGCAGCTGCTTATCGTATTTAACGTTTTCTGGTGAAGTATTAGCATTTTTGGGCTTGAAATAGTCGCATACAATGGCTTCTGTTGACACTTCGTAATTGGAAGCCAGAAGCTGTTTTATATGCTGGATTCTTTGCAGTAGATGTCTGTGACTTGTTGGCGATAAATTTCAACAATAAACAAACAGCAACACAGTTCACTTGTCTTAAAATAAGATATTAGAGCAAGTAAAATGTATCTAAAATTTTCATTACCCTGTTGGTTATCACAGATGTATCCAGAGCTTCAAATAATTGTCTTTTTTTTGTCAAACTCCATACAGACTGGTTCAATTACTTTAGAACACAATTGACAAGACGAATTATTTCTTGTCACTTCTGTTGTTACAAATTGTGATATTTTCACTTTAGAAACTGCCCATTACAGCTAAATTTCTGCTAGTGTGTCCACTTCTCATCCTGCTGATGATTTACCTCTATCTCCTCCTCCTCCTCCTCTTGGAAAGGTATAAAAGCCATCTAGTTTTCCATCGATGAAGTTCTTCAGACTTCATAAAGAATATCCACAAAAAATGCTTAAATCTCAAACCGATAATCACTTTATAATTCTATTTCTGTGACAACAAAGCTTGCATGTGTTCAAAACCATGTGTAAATATTAGACATACATCACTGTTTCAGTTTAAGTTTAATGCGAGCATTATGATTTGGATAGTTTATATAGTACAGGTGTTATATTTACTTATATATTTATATTTATAAAAGCGATAGTTTATGGCAAGTTTGTTTATGAATCATACATTTTGTAGTGTGTATGTTCAATTGTTATGAGTTAGCGAACTTTCTGAACTTTTCTCATTGTTTTAGTTAAGAATTATTGCATCAGAATATCTAGTATTGCATGGAATGTTCTAGACTTCTGTCGGAGTATAAATACGCGTTGAAAGATTATTATTTAGATCTAGACTGTGTGATTGTGAGTTTAGCAATAAAGAGCGTATAGTGGCGATTTTTAAAGCGGAATTATTGCAGGTTGTTTTGTAATAACATAGCAGAGAAGAATAATTCGTCTTGTCAATTGTGTTCTACAGTAACTGTCTGTTTGTTTGTAATTAAGCACAAAGCTACACAAAGGGCTATCTGTGCTCTGCTCACCACGGGTATCGAAACCCGGTTTCTAGCGTTGTAACTCCGCAGACATACCGCTGTGCCACTGGGACCTACAGTAATTGAACCAGTCTGTATGGACTTTGATCGTAAAATATTCAATCTGATATTATTTTGGTGAACAGCACACGTACCAACAACTTTAGACTGATAAAAGTCTTAACAGAATCAGATTTGTATGGAAAACTTCCAGGACTGTTTTCTATATTTTATGTATGTACGATTGCAGAACTGAACTGAAACTGTCTAAGCTACCCAGATTTATTAGTTACAGTTCTAATCAGATTAATTATATTTTCATTAATAGTTGTTTATCAGGAAAATATGCCTTCTTCATAACTGTACTGTGTCATCTTTTCAAGACACGCGCCATTTATAGACGTCCTTTTGATTCAATAGTTCGTATGCTATACAGACAATTTTGCCGGCCAGATGTGGCTTCTCTCACATGTGTTAGTACTGCGTAGTGTTTGACAAAAACATGAAATAGAAAACTGACAAATCAGTGGATATAAACAAGATGAAACTTCAAATTACTTCAAGTATCAACTTAAATTATTTAGCTTATCCTGACTTTGGCTCAGATTAACATAATTACAATGATTTGCCAAAGTAGTGATAAAATTTTTCAAATTT